CATTGGGCCTTGCTACTGGGACTGGCCGGGAGGCGCGCGGCGCCGCGGGGCGCTCAGGGCAGGGCTGGGCAGAGCGCGGCTCCAGGAGGGGCGGGGCGCCAGGCAAACTTCCCTCCCCGCTCCAGCCCTGGCATCCTTGCTCTCTTTTTGGGAGCCCTGGGTCTCTATTTTTCCGGGGCGGGAGGAAGGGCTCTCCCTACTTCTACTTCATTTTATTCCGCGCCCCCTTTCCTTATCACCCCTCTTTTCCTCTGTTCTCCAGTTTCTTTTTTTCTGCCCTCTGCTACCTACGGAAGGGGTCGCTAAGAGTCGAATCCACTCGATGGCAGTGAGGTTTTTTTTTTTTTTTTTAACTGCTTCCATCAGTGGCCCCGCGTGAGAAATGACCTGGCTGGCTGATTCCGTCAAGTTTTCAGCTTGGGAAACCCCACGGTGTGTGGGGCGTCCTCCTCTGACCTACAGGGTCGCTGGGAGTAGGAATCGCGTCCACTGGCTCTCAGCAACAACTTCCCTTACCTTTTTCTCTTAAGTCCATTGCTGTGTTTCCGTCCGCCCCGCCTCCGCTGTCTGCCCCTCTTTTTGTTTACAACAATTTGGGTTGAGGTCCTACCTTACCTGTCCCAGTTTTAAAATCCGCGTGGCTAGTTATCCAAGTCGAGAAAGATACTCTCATTTCTTTTTAAACACCTTCTCTTTTTCTTCCTGTTTCCGTCTTCAAAACTTTTCCTCCTGGTAAAAGTGGGCCTTTGTCTCCGCATGGAAGCTTCAAAGTTTGCGTCAAGGCGTCTGCTTGCGGTGCTGTGAACGCAAGAATCCTTCATCTCACCCAGGAATCTGGCGCTTGTTTTCACCGGTGCTGTGCACTTCTCTGGGCACCTAGACCGGGACCAGCGGGGAAGGGGTAAGGAGCCGTCGGCTCCCTTTGATAGAGAACTTATGGGAATAAAACCTACAGAAACGCCAACAAAACACCACTCTGGCCTTAACGTGACCTCCAGTAGCGCGTCCTCGCAAACAATAAGACGTCCCTATCTCTGGATCGCTGATCTCGGAGGAGGGGGAAGACTTACTTGGGGGAGGGGACCAGCGGAAAGGGATTTTTCTGGAGGTGGCTTGTCGCGCCCAGCTTGAGGACTTTTATTTTGCCAATTTCGGAGGAAACGTGATTTTATTTTCGCTGTTAGGAAAAACAGAGGAGAAATCAGCTGGGGGCAGGAAGGGGACCTCGGATCTGCGCCAGCGCGGGTCGGGGCTCGGCCGTCCTCTGCGCTGCCTCTTTTTGGCCTCTTATCCCCGAGTCCAGGCCGGCGGCTCCTGGGGAGCGAGCGCCCGTGATTGGCGGCTCACCAGGCCCGGCATTGATGGCTGCGGGGTTCTAATCTCCAGGAAACACAAGGGGCTGCCGTCGCCATTTAGGGGTAATTATCCGAGCGCGGAGGGACAGCAAATTCCCTCGTCTTTTAACTGGGCGCAATAAAAGCTGTAGATTAGGGACGTCCAGATTAAGGAAAATGAATTACTACAGCAGGGGCTTTATTACCCGGACGGCGTCCGGGGTCTGGCGGGAGGGGTCGGGCTCCGGACGCAGCAACCATCTACCATCTCACATCTGTCAGCCGGCCCCGGAGATAGGGTGAACCCTTGGGCCCGGACCCGGAAGGCTCGCATCTGTGAAATGTACACGGCCTCTGCAGTTTGTTCTTGGACCCAAGACAGGAACTGAAGCGTCGGGCAAGGCTTTTGGCCTAACTTGGATCTGGCTAGCCTGGGGCGCGTGCTTGGACGTGGCACCGCACCTCTGGTTGTGTGTGGCGAGCGAGAGCCCTTCTTTGAGGGCCCCAGAGGTCTGCCCGAGGGTACAAGGCTGGAAGGCGGTACACCCCCATTTTAGAGCTGCTGCAACTGAGGCCCCGCGTGGCTATAGGCGCAGCACCTCTCTGGAGGCCCAGGCAGGATGCGAACTTCTGTCGCTGTCTGTAATTATACTCCGCTGCGGAGCAGAAATCCGTCTGAACTCTGGATAAAGGGGAGGGGTCGCAGCGCCCCTTGTGCAAGGTCCACATTAAAGACCCAGTAGTATGAGTCGGGTTTGACTCGATGGCACATAACAACAACAAGTGTGTGTTTGGGCTGAGGCTGTCTTTGCCCCCACAGACAATGTGTGGGTCTCCCAGCTCTCGAGAGCACTGGCTTCTAAATATTTGGTCCCCAGAACACTGAATCTTCCCCGTGACTTTCTGGAAAAATGCACGTCCGCCAAAACGCATCTCTGCAAGGCCGCGCGGACAACTTCGGGCGCTCTGCAGATCCGTCTCAGAACGCGCCCGGCTTTGGGCCGGGAAAGGGGCTCGAACCCCGCAAGCTCTGCGCGCCGTGCACAGGGGGCTCCTGCGGAGTCCGGGGCCGTCGCGGGCGGCGGGTACTGCTAGGCCTGGCCGCGGGCCGGGGCCGGGCGGCCGGAGAAGGGCCGCATCGCTAATTGCCGGGATAAACAATCTGTCACGACTCCTCAGCGCGCCTAATAGGCAGACGAGGATGTTGTTTTTAGGCGCCAGCGGCGGCCGGATCAAAGGCTGCAGCCGGCGCAAGGGCCCTTGAAGTCGCGCCCCCGCCTCCAGGGAGCCAACCGCCTGCGCCGGGGCCCGGGCTTTGCTGCTCGCCCTTCAGCAGCCGGAGGTGGTTCCGAAGTCCGTCTTGGTTTAGAGTTCCGGCTGGGCTTGTGGCTGCTCGGGGCCTGCGCGGGGGGTTAGCTGCGTGGCGGCGTTGCGAGGCTGGGCAAGTTGGTCTACAGGGGAAAGGGGCTCAGCCCGGGCTCCACGTGGCAGCCTGGGGCACAACAGCTCGGGGTTCCTGCACTGCCCTGCGGCTGGGCTACAGGGCAAAGCTGCCCGCCCTCTCGAAGGGAGTTATTTGCAGAAAAGAAATAAACTGTCTCGGGGGGCTTGTTGTCCCCGCGGGAGGAGAGGCGCACGGTTTGGGGGCTGGGAGCGGGAGCCGTCCCTGCCTTCATTTTTGTCTGGGCCTTTTCGGATTTCCCGGTTCGTGGGTTCCGCGAGCTGACAGTGGCGGGGATTCAGCCTGTTATCTCGCCGCCAGCACTAACCCCGGGGCGCTTCTGTCCCAGGCATTTCTGCGCGCGGCCGCTGCAGCCCGGAAAGCCAGGCTGTAATTCATCGCCTGGCAAGGGCAGGGCTGGCCTGTAGCAGATAAAGCTCCCGGGCAGGCGCTGCTGCTCCCTTCCTCGCCCCATCCCCTCCCCCGCTCCATCGCCCTCGTTCCGGGGCGTCCTAACCAACCCCCCAACAAAGCGCCCTTGCATTTTGGAGCCTCTTTGCGGATTTGCCCTGCGTCCCTTCTCTCTGGGACCTCAACTAGTGTCAGGTTTATTTTTCCCTGATGCCCATTTTGGAGAGGTGCGAGGCGGCCGAGGAGGAGCGGTGATGTTGCTAGAATTCTTTTCTTTTCTTTTTTTTTCCTGCCGCGAGTGAAGATTAATTTTAAAGGACTCTCATCTTAACAACTGTCACTACCAAGGCATTGCTGCTCGGGTTGGAAGGCTGCAGGCTGGCCCCTCACTTCGGCGGTCGGCGTTCATTTCGTTGCCTCTGTTGGGGTTTTGTTTACGTCCCCTCCCCCCTTTCCCAATGCATTTGTGGCCTCGACCCAGGAATCCCGCGTGCACTTTTTTAAAATGTGCAGCTCAGTGGGATCCCCCGGCAATTAGCGAGGCCCAAACAGCCCTCTTTAATGGAATGAATGTGCTATATGAAAACCGATTACCCGGAACGATTTATTTTGGTGGGAATTCACCAATCTCCAGGAGGGCGGCGGAGGGGGGAGAGAGGAGGTATTTTGTCCAGGGGGTGGGGTGGGGAGACGATAGACAGCACCGCCGCGGGATCCCCCAATCTGCCAAGGGGCCTTCTGACCCCGGGTTCTCCAGCCTTTTGGTCTCTGTCGCCTAGAAGGGAGGAGCTGGGTGGGAGTCTCCGATGGGACCCTCTGCGACAGGGATGGGGGAGGGTGAGAGGGACGGAAGATTCTCAGCTTTCCCAGAGAAAAACTCCGCCGAGCTGAGAACTCCGGGAGACGTCAGCCCCCGGCTACTTCCACCGCACAGATCGGGGGCAAACTGCTGTCTGCTTTTCGGAGAACCGTTCAGAACTGGGTGCCTGTTAAAAGTTCTGGGACCCTTCCTGCACGCGGAGCAACAAAGGAACAAGCAAACAAGAAGAAAACTATTTTTAAAATGTGTTGTCTCCTCTTTAATTCCTGGGGTTAAGTGGGCTCAACCGGTGAGGCGAAACTCCTCCAGTGCGTAGCCTTTCCCCGGACGCTCCGGGGGAGAAACTGACAAGCCAGACTCCCGGCCTCTTCCCTCCTTCCCGCCCTTCCCCCCACTTGCTGCTTTCCCCTCTAGCTCGGGCCCCAGCTTCCTCGGGGCTTTAAATTCGGAAGGGGGTGAGGGGCCCCCTTTTCAAATGGCCCAAATTAATGTGATCGCGACATGAGGGTGCACTTGGGGAAGATGAAAGCAGAGGCCGGCCGGCTTCGCCTAGCGCTCTATAATTATAGATAATATATCCCATTTCAAAGCAATTAGACCAATCAGGCGTAACGAACCACTTTGCTGCCGACGAATAACAAAGGC